ACCAATGTACCAGGGATGCACAAACAGAGCAGGGAGATTGAAGAAAGGGATGTGAAACAAGGAAAATTATAAATCAAGAATAAGATGCAGCATAAAGAGGCATTATTTCCCGGCTGCCACCTTCTCACCTGTGAAGGGAGAAAGCAGGCTAGGTAGGCAAGTGCACCCACCTGGCACATGTGATTTCCTTCACTCAGCGCAAAGAGAAATGGTGCCCTAAAGTATTCCATAGGAAACAGAAAGGAGGAGAATTCGTGTCTTCTCCCTCCTGAGTCCTTTCTCCAACTGGTTAAAGGTCATCTCCTGATGTAGTAGAGTTAGCGCCCACCCATTGCAGTTCCATCATCCAGCTTCTTCTGTATGAATGTAACCAGTCAGGTTCCCTGAGCCCTGAATTCCACACGAAGTGGGCCAGACAATAACTGTGTGACTGGAAAAGAATCCCTGTCAAGCATCAGGAACCTAGATGTTTTATAATGGGCAGTAAACTTGTCTGAGCTTTGCTCCAAAGGGAGATGACATTTTTTATTAAATGGACAATAATCAAACCTGTTCCCTGGTCAAGAAACATTGTCTTTATTATATGTGGTCATTGACTCCACAAGGGGTCATTAACTCCTTGCAAAGGTGCTCTAGGGCACAAGTGGTCAGTGCCATCCATTCAAAGATATGCAGAAACATGAGAGCCTTCCTGAACATTGTCTCCTAACACAGATGCAATATGCTGTTACAAGATATTAATTTCCTGATGGGGTGAAACTTCAGCCAGTATAAAATATATTTCTCAGCATTTGAGTCTTTCCCCTGTCCTACTGAACCTTGAACCCAGAGCCTCACATATGCTAAGTATATGTTCTAAGAGCTAGTTTCTCCTCTCCTGACAACTGAGAATGTCCAATTACAGCAAGCATCAGAACACAAAATACTGTTAGCACACCCACTAAGCAGTATATATTGACATCAATCAAATAAAACATGAGAACTCTTTGCTCAGTGAATTAACAGAACATATCAAGGTCCATAAACAATTATCTCAAACAGTGCTGTAGGGTCTGAAGGTGCAGTAACTGTGGATACTGGCGTAGATTCAGAAAGTTGTCAAATATTGTTGGAGTGGATTTTCCTTAATTATTGCTAAATTATTTCAAGTTACTTCACATCTCTAATTCCTTCAAGAACATCACCAAAAGCCATACCATTGAAAAGCATTTCACAGAAAGAAAAAAGCTAAGAGTCACTAGCATAATAATTCCTAAACAGAAATTAAGTGCCCATGTGTGAATCATTAGGTTTGGTACTATGGGGGAGTAATCTGGAAAATTAGCATACGCACTATTATGTGCAGGATTTATGTGCAGAAAAAGAAAGAGCACCTTTGCCAATATGAAGGGGCTTCATCAATCTGTTGAGGCCTCAAATAGAACCAAAAAGTGAAGGATGAGCAAGTTATCTTGACTTTGGCTAGTATGTTGTTGTTCCAGTCAAGATATTTGTGCTCCAAGGCCTTTGGAGTTGCCCTGATAATCACACATTGGCTCCTGTGTTCTCAGTTATTTGGTTTGGAGCAGGAATCATGCCACCGGAGCTCTTTGAAGATGACAGATCATGGGACATTCATCTTTATAAGGGCATGTGATAAATCACTACAACAATTTGCTTTCTATATATATATATATATATACGTACACTATTGGTTCACTTTCTCTGGGGGAAACCTATTGAGGACCTTAAAATAAGTATGACTAATATGTAAAAGACTCTGGCAGAAAAATGTGGATAATTCACACAAGTAATAGGAGATTTCAGTAGAAGTAGGAGCTACAAAAAATCTTTCAGAAATAAAAGATACAACATCAGAGATAAATAATTCCTTTAACATTTTACATTTTTACTGAGTGTGTGTGTGAGTGTGTGTGTGTGTGTGTGTGTGTGTGTGTGTGTCTTAAGGCCAGATGAGATAGCTCTCTTGCCCAGGAATATTTACTATATTCATCAGCAGACTGAAACCACTGGGGAAATGATTAGTGATTTTAAACTACAGCAATAAAAATTGTCCAAATTGGAAAGACCAAAAGGGAGTGGAATAGAAAACCAGAGCATTAAAAGTTGTGTGTGACAGTCAATAGTCTAACATACTAATAGATGTGTAATTGAAGTCAGAGGAGAAAAGGAAACAGAGACAAAGACATATTCAAAGAGATAAGAGCTGATAGTTTTATAAAACTATCCATAGACACAAGAAACTTGGAAAAATCTTGAGGATATGAGATAGATAGGTAGTACATAGATGGATAGATAGATAGATAGACAGATAGATAGATACAGACAGACATCTCTTTGACACATCATGGTCATTCCATTGGAAAATGTGAAGGAAAACAATTGTATTTACAGGAACAAAGGTCTTCAAATTCCTATAAAAAGCACCCAAAGCTGGATGTGGTGGCTCAGTAATAATCCCAGTGCTGGGAAGGCTAATGCAGGAGGATGGTGAATTTGATGCTAGCCTGTACTACATAGTGAGTTGAAGGCCAGTTTGGAGTACAAAATCCTTGTTCTCTTCACAAAAATTAAAAAAGAAAAAAGAATCAACAAATTATTTAGTTTAGAAAGTCTCACATATACCAAGAGAATAGATTGAAAAATAAATGAGCCAGGTGTGGTGGTGCCCACCTTTAATCCCAGCACTGGGGAAGGAGACACAGCTGGATCGCTGAGTTCAAGGCTAATTTGGTCCCCATGGCAAGTTCAATGAGCCAGGGCTCTTTGCTACTTATAGTAGTAGAGAGACTGTCTCAAAAATCCAAAATGGAAAAAAAAAGAAAGAAAGCAAAACAAAACAAATGACCTCTATTAATGGTTATAGTAATTCAAATAATTTGTTAAGCCTCTGAGAGTACTAATAGCATTCAATGGAGTTTCCAAAAACAGTTTCTCAGAAGGAAAATTCCTTTGAGGACTCCATGGAAAAGCATAGTCAGTCAATTTGAATGATAAGAGCAAATGAGCTAAGAAGAATTTCTCATTCTATACCATAAAAATCTTCAAAGTGATGATTTTTCAAAATCAGAAAAACAACTGGAAATATCTTGTCACAAGCTAAAATATCAAGTTCTTTTAGACTGGATATTACATAAATACAGTGTAGATTTTTTTTCAAGATAGTGTTTCTCTGTGCAACACTGTCCTGGAACTGGCTTTGTAGATATGCCTGCCTCTGCCTCACAAGTGCTGGGATTAAAGGTGTGTGCCACCATTGTCTGGTTTAGAATATTTATCGATGAAGGGTTTTTGTTTCCTTCTTTTCTTGAAATATTTTTAAATTTTATTTTATTCTATGTGCATTGCCTGTGTATACATATGTGCACAATATGAATGTAATGCCCACAGAGGTCAGAAGAGGGCATAAGACCACCCAGAACTGAAGTTAAGGAAGGTCATGGACAACCATGTGGGTGCTAGGAACCAAACCTAGGTTGTCTGCAAGAGCAACAATTGCTTTTCACCACTGAGTCATCTTTCCAGTTCCCCTTTTTAAGATGTCTGATTGGCATACATGATAAAAAATTACCATATATTTTTACATTTTATCTGTATCTCTTGATTCCTCAACATTGACATTTATCACATTTAGCAACCCCTTCCCTCATTCTATTATATATATATATATCATATTATATATAGTAATGTATGTAACATATTATATTGTATTTGGCCATTTTGTGTCCATCTTTGTTTAAAGATATACTCCCAAATATATTCCACAATTACCAAAATAATGAGACCAACAATGCCACAGTAGCATTATTTAATCTGTGAATCTTATCTACATTTTTTTCAACTAACATTTCTTATAGGAGAAAACTTAAAATTTGATGTTGGTCTTACATCTTGTTTGGTTTCTACGTCCCTTTAGATCTGCAATTGTTTCTGTCTTTATCTTCCATCACCTTCAGATCACTTCTTGCACCCTGCTTCCCATTTGGTCTTTCTCATCTTTAGGTTCAGGACATACATTTTTGGCAGTAACACAAGAAGCAATGTGTGTCCTCAGTGCATCCTATCAAGAGACTCACGACCATTTGTTCCATTATTGGCCTTGTTGAGTTTGTTCACTTGGTTAACAGGATCTGCCAGGTTTCTCCACTATAAGATATAATTAATTAGTATCATCCATGAAAAATTAGAGATTTTAATATTAAATTTTTGTGTATTATCATTGGCATGATTATTAGCTGATAATAATTAGAGTTTGTAATCTTCCCAGGGATGATTGCCATAAAGAGTAGTTGAGGTGTAATACAAAGATTATAAACTACTGATTGTAGTATGTTGTTTTCTGATCGAATCATAAAATACATGTGTCAGCATTTTCCATCTGCCCATGTGTCTTAGTTAGGGTTTCTATTGCTGTGATGAAGCATCATGACCAAAAAGCAAACTAGAGATGAAAAGGTTTATTTAGCTTACACTTCCATATTGTAGTCCATCACTGAAGGAAGTCAGGATGGGAACTCAGGGACAGCAGGATCCTGGAGGCAGGGACTGATACAGAGGCCACAGAGGGGTGCTGTTACTGGCTTGCTCCCCATGGCTTGCTCAGTCCACTTTCTTACAGAACCCAGGGACACCAGCCCAGGGATGGTCCCATACCCAATGGACTGGGCCCTCTGACATCAATCACTAATTAAGAAAATACCCAACAGATCTACCTATAGCCTGATCTTATTGAGGCATTTTCTTATCTGAGGATCCATCCTTTCTAGTGACTCCAGCTTGTGTTGAGTTGACATGAAACTAGCCAGCACACCATGTTCGCATTAAAGTTTAGAGGAAAACTCAGACTAAGGGTTTAATTCATTTAGTAGAAGACATGCCTTGTATATATGAACCCTGGATTCAGTCCCCCAGTGCTGAAAAATACATACAAAAACAAACCAATCTAATTTCTGATGGATGCTTGGAATAACAGTCTCAGTGTTAATGACTTTCAACAAATGTACACTCAGTGATAGGTATTTATTATGCTTTGCTTTACGAATAGGGGACATAACAGTGAACAAAATAGACAAAAATCCTTATTTTATGAAGGTTATGTTCCAGGGCATAAAGCAGATAATAAATATGTAGATAAGCAAGCCTGTAAAGAAAAATAAAGAAGGATAAGGAGACGAGTAGTACAGAAATACTAGAAGTTGTATAATGAAGATGAAGATACACATCCTAGTAGCTAATAACATCCATTTCTTTCCTTTTCACGCTGCAGTTGGAGACTGTTCAATGGCTTGGCTGTGGCTTGCCTCACTTCTCTTTCCAGCACTGGCACTGAGGAGCACATTTGTCCCATCCTTAACTCAGTGACAGCAGCAAGTCGTATGACCAAATCCAATGTCGATGCAGGCAGAAAGAATGCCCTCAGGGAAGGGTCGTGGGCACTGCAGGTCACAACGCACATAGGTGAGGATGTTTGATCTTCACGTAGGGAAGAAATAAATGTATCACTGGAGACAATACTACAATTCACCCTGGCATCCTGAAGGAAAGGAGTCATATACAATGTATTTTCCTGGGAAGATATGCAGAGACATTTATTCACCCCAGATAGGACACATGCAGACCCAAAGAATGATTCCACCGAGGTCGGGCTGTCTTAGTCACTGTTCTACTTCTGTGAAGAGACACCGTGACCATGGCAATTCTTATAAAGGAAAGCATTTAATTGGGGGCTTGTGTATAGTTTCAGAGGTTTAGCCCATCATGATGGGGCGCATGGCAGCAGGTATAGCAGGCACAGTGCTGGAGAAGCAGTTGAGAACTACAGCCTGATCTGCAGGCAAGAGACCGAGACTAGATCTGGCATGGACCTTTGAAACCTCAAAGCTCACCCCCAGTGACACACTTCCTCCAATAAGGCCTCACACCCTAATCCTTCTAAACCTATCAGACTTCCGTTCCCTCGTGACTAAGCATTCACATACATGAACCCATGGGGGTCCTTTCTTTCTTTCTTTCTTTCTTTTTTTTTTTTTTTTTTTTTTTTTTTGGTTTTTACGAGACAGGGTTTCTCTGTATTGTTTCGGAGGCTATCGGTCCAGCCTGGCCTCAAACTCACAGAGATCCGCCTGCTTCTGCCTCCCGAGTGCTGGGATTAAAGGCGTGCGCCACCACTGCCCGGCTCATGGGGGTCCTTTCTTATTCAAACCACCACACCACTTAGTGAACCAATGAGCTTGTTGGGGGTAGGTTCCAGAAATATGAATGAAAGGTTACTTACAGCATCATTGATGACTCAAAAGCAGCCATACCACAGAAAGTTCCCATCCCAGCATGAGTGAGGACTCAGGGAGACTGCCTTACTGAGGTTCTGTCTTCAGTCAACATACACTCTAGCAACCCACCCCACAGGCCACCGGTAGTGGAGGCAGGAGAGAGCAGCAGGAAGGAAAGGCAGTCTTCCCCTAGGAGAGACCGCTAATCACTCCATTACCATACCTTGCAGACCACCATATTGTTTTGATGATTGTGTTGTTGTTTTTCAGAATAAGCAATTTTGAATGGCACAAAGGCAATCTGTGCTCCAATGTGGAATGATCTCCACAGTGGTTAATCTTAATCGTCAATGTGACAGGATTTAGAATCACTTTGGAGACAAGCCTCTAAGTATGTTTATGAGGTTATTTCTGGAGAGGTTTACACGAATATGGTTGGTACTGTGAAAGCCAAAGTTATGTTTTAAGTTTAATTACTCTGCCTAAAAGATCCATAAAACAAAAATGCCTCTAGCCTGTAGGTTCCTTGCCATAGGACAGATACTTCCTGAAATGCTGGAGGCTATTTCTGTAAGATAGTAAGTCATATGCCCCCCCCCAACCAGTTTATTTGACCCAACTGCACCAGATGTGCTTGTTCATGTGTAGGCAGGAGGTATATAGGGTTCATCATCAGGTGTATCCTTGCCCTTGGTGGGATGTAACAGGAGGAACACGGGCAATAAGTACATCAGAATGTATGCTTGCCCCTGATTGGACCTGGTGAGAAATATGTCTTATGTGTTTGCCTTTATAAGCCTCTGCAAACTGTGACTAATTGCCATTTTTTGGGAACCCTAGACTAGACTTGGCCAGAGTCCATCATCTTGGCCAGTACTTAATTAAAGCTTGCTTCCAATTTGGCTCAAAAATTGTGGTAGTGGTCTTGTTCTTACACAGTGGGATTAATAGTACTGATTCCACAGACTGCAATGTGGGAGTAAATAAAAGGGCAAGCTAGTTGAACACCCATGTTCATCTCTATCTGCTTCCTAACCACAAGTGTAATGTGATCAGCCACTTATCGCTCCTGCCATTACAGCATCCATATCCTTTCAAACCATGAGCTCCAAAAAAGATTGTCTGCATCAAATAGCTTTTGCCAGACCAATGAGGAAATATTGTAACAAGGAGTCCGAGTGTTGAGACCATGTGGTTCTTAGGCTTTTGGAACTAGTTTGGAGGAGGCTTTTAGAAAAGTTTAGAGTTCTGGACTCCAGAGACCATACAATGCTATAAGCAGATATTGATGGGCCATTCTGGTAAGAATTCAGAAGAACAGGATTCTGAGAGAAATAGGGCAATGGTAGGTTGACTCATAGGGTTTCAAAGGCAAAACAAAACCCACTGGAAATTAGACTAGAGACCATCCATGTTACTGCCTGGCAAAGGATCTGGTTACATTTTGCCCATGCAAAGAAGAGTGAGTCTCAATTCAAAAGCAGTGAATTAGTTTGGTGGAAGAAATTTCAAGATAGCATAGCATTGAGGCTATCAATGGTACAGTCACTGCTCATTGCTCTTATCCAGGTTTACAGTGAAAGAGACTAACAGGCAGAACAGGAAAAAGAGTGAGAGCAAATTCAAAGTAGTTAACAAGGTGGCTGCTGGTAGTGTGTGTGTGTGTGTGTGTGTGTGCGTGTGTGTGCGCGCGTGTGTCTGTGTGTGCACATGCGTGTGTATATTGTGCATTTACCAGTGTGTGATTGTATAGGAATCATTCTATTTTTTTTAAGACAAGATTCTCACTGGGACCTGGGACTTACTGATTAGGCTAGGTTGTCTGGCAGTGATGTGCCTGTCTTCATCTTCCCAGTGCTGGCATTATAAGTGGCCCATAACTTGTATGAAGTTTATTTATGAAAAGAAAACCATTGACTCAACAGGTAGTTTTTACAGGTAGATATTGCATGCCAAACTCTAGGCACTGAATCAGCAACAAAGTCTCTATTCATGGTGTTTACATTCTGTGGAGAAGACCGGACAGAAACACTTGATAATTATGCTCAAGAATACATATGAAATATAGCAGGCAAAATTGAAAGAGAACCCCAAGCTGATACGTTTCCATTCAGATACTATTTCAGTAAAGGACAAAGGGCCTATGTCAACTTCAAATGGAAGGAAAAAAAAGAACATTTAGTGCCAAGGAAAAGGTTGAGATGTTTGGGGTAGAGGACTGTTATCCTAGTTTGCTTTCTATTGATGTGATAAAGACCATGACCAAAAGGAGAGAAAAGAGTTTATTTGGCTTACAGATACCAGGTCACAGTCTATTGAGGGAAGCCAAGGCAGGAAGCTAGAGGCAGGGAAGTAAACAGAGACCAAGGGAAAATGCTGTTACTAGTTGCTCTTCATGGCTTGTTCAACCTGCTTTCTTATAGCACCCAGGACCACCTGCCCAGGGATGGCCCCAGTCACAGTGTGTAAGCCCGCCCACAGTAAGTACTAATCAAGAAAATACCCCCACAGATTTGCCAACAGGCAATATGTTGTAGACATCTTCTCAATTAAGGATCCTTTTTTTTTCCCAAATGACCCTAGTTTGTGTTAAGATGATGAAAACTAACCAGCACAGCCACAAACAGAAAAATTTCTGAGATGGCATTGGAACTGGGAAGAATTCTTGCTAAGTTCACTTACTAGGATTCCTGATGAATACTGGGTAGGGTGAGCAGAGTAAATGGGAAATTGCGGAAAATGAAGAAATCGAGCAGATACAGAGGTGGTCCAGATCTAAGGATGACAGCCTCTGTAAACCAAGTTAGCAGTATGCTTAGTATAATTGGACTCTGTAGGGATGAACACAGAAACCCAAGGTAAGGTCCAGGTAATGAGAAGGCTTAGAGAAACCTAATTAAAGTTTTGTAAAAGGAAGGCTGGCACAGTAGCACACACCTGTAACCCCAGCACTTAGAAGATAGAGACGAGAGCATCAGGAACTTCAAGATTAGCTTTGGCTCCATGGTTCAAGGTCAGCTTGAGCTATATGGACCCTGTTTCAAAAGAAAATGTTTGGTAATGAAAAGAGTCTTTAATGATAGAGTCCTTGAAGAAAAATGTGGCACAGAAATGAAATGTTGATGGTTTTTAAGGGGACCTGATCAATGAAATGACATTTCAGTGGGGGGCTTTATAAAGCAAGGCAGGAGGATGTCTAGACAAAAGTATGGCAATAACAGCTATATAATGCATTTGCTCACTACATCAAGATGCAGCAAGGAGACTGGCGTCATTTGAGTAAGGGGTGAAATATACTTAGAGAAATAGTTCATAGCTAGAGCCTCGAAGTTTCCAAAGTCCAGGTAGGAAGTTTGTGTTTGTGGTGGTAAAACGTTTTGGGACATGCTTTTTTTTTTGTAAAGACCAATACTATAGTCAAATCAAAGATAATTTCTTATTCCCCAACCTCCCCTGGCACATGCCGTGAGTCTTTGTGGACCAAAGGTAGAGATGTATTAACTATATTGCTGCACTTTTTAAAAGTACTAATGTTTTGCCTTTCAAATATTTATACTATGATTCCCTATGTATGCCACATGTAAGAAGGTGTTATTTAAAAAAAAAACGCTTCTCTTTTTTAAATTCAAAAACATGCTGAGGGACTCTGCTATGATTCCTTGGCACTAAATAGAAAAGGGCACCCTTTCACGCCATATTCACTCCCAGGGGAGCCACGGGCTGGTTGTTGCACAAATAGAATTTATACCAACAACGTTTTAATCTTACTTCCATTGTTGAAAATTAATTCATTTTTAGACTATAGAATGATTTGCCAAGTACAAGAAGCCTGCTAGAAAAAGCAAATGAATGAACCAGCTCTCTTTATGTACTTAATTTAGAGTTGTTCAGGCTACTGTATGTGATTTGAATCAGAAGGACCCCATAAATATTCCCAAGAACACCTAGTTGGATCAACTTAGTGAATGTGTAATTGCCTATGAAATTCAGAGTTAAGAAAGGAAATTTAGACTCAAAGAAGGTGGTTATTAATTGTCCTTTCAGTTGCTGAAGTGCATTACCAGAATAACAAATAGGTGCTGGCTCCGCCGGAAGGAAATGGGTTATGGCAGATGGTCAGCAGTTTGGGGTTAAAGTAATATAGCTCCTATGTAGAAATTGAGAAGATTTTTAATTTCAGGGAAGTGATTAGTTTGGAGTTTGCTACTATTCGAAGAAGAGCAATTCTTTTGTTGTTGTAGTTGTTTTGTTTTTAAATCATCTTTCACTTCCAAGATGCAACAAGTGTAGAAGGATTTCTTAAAAAGGAGAAAAGAAATACAATCCTTTCCTTAGTTTTGAAATTTATACTTCAGTTTGATATCTGCAAAAGCTACCTGGACTAAATATAATTTCTGCATCATAAATTCCCTGGTGGTTTGAGAAAACTGCAAAACATTTGTCTTTGTCGATTGTTGTCTGTGAAAGGCAATTTAGACACTATCAGAAAAACTATTTTCTGTTGAGATTTTTCGCTTCTATCTTCCATCATGGTAGGGAGGGGGCAAGGGGTCGGGCTACGACGCCACCCCCAGACTCTTAGCCACATTTCTGTCTCACTGGCTCTTGCCTTCAGATACCGTATCTGTAAATCTGTAGCGGAAAGTGAGGCAGCACCTGAAGAAACCACTCTGGGACTGGGGATTTAGCTTAATGATTTCAATGGCAGATTCTTTACCTAACACACGCCAAAAATCCGGACTCAATCTTCAGCAAGTAAAAAAATGAATATTGTGCACAGGAAAACATTGGCAGATGACACATGCGCCTGAAGACGACATTTCAAAAGTTCTTCTGTTGTATACCGTGTCAAATGCCTGTAGCCTCAGCACTGGGGAGGCCGGACTGGGAGCTAGCCAAGGATACAGAGCAAGAGCCCAAAAGAAACCAAAATCGAAAAACCAAATCCTCTTTGGAGGAAATGCCATCAATTCGTAGATTTAGAATTCAAAACCAAAACACTCAGGTCCCTAATTCCGGGAAACTTTGGGCAAATATTTTCTCTTTTTGGAGCCTATCTCAGTCTCTCATCTATAAAAGGAATGGATTGGACCAAGCAATCTCTCATATCTCCTGCAGTTTGAACGCTGAAGTGGAGTTAGACGGAAAAATACTGGAGGGGTTTGTTTTGATTTGAATTAGGGCAGAAGGGAAGAGCTGTTTCCGCGTTTATGTTTCTAGAGTCAGAAATATGAGAGCAGTAGGAATGAGTGAAGAGAGGTGGGGGAGTGGGACAGAGACACAACCCGGCTCAATTTAGGTGGCTCTTTGCATTTACTGGGTAAGCAACCAGGCGGTTGCTAAGCAACTGCATCTCTTGTACGCACGGAGGCCCCCAGCCAAGGTGTCTAAGTCACTATCTGTTTTTGTTTTGTTTTCAAAGAATGGTAGCTTTTCAAAATTAGTGAAAGTTGTTATCTTTAAAAGCGCACGTTTTTTTTTCCCAGCCAATTCTGCTCAAACTCTCTGGCTGAGGTGGGTTCGCGGCGGCTTTTCCTTCCGCCGTTTTCAGGCGCGCTGTGGACACCCTTGGGCCAGGCCCCGCCGCTGCGCGTTGCCCGGCAGAACCCGCCGCCTCCCGCTCGCTACTCCTGGACCCCGCCCTCCCTGGACAGGGCTCTGGGCCCAGGACCCGGGTCTCAGGAGCGATGTCTCAGGCCACCATGGGCTCGGAGATGGAGCCTCTGTTCCGGGCCTGGAGCTATTTTAGACGCAGAAAGTTCCAGCTCTGCGCCGATCTATGCACGCAGATGCTGGAGAAGTCCCCTTATGACCAGGTACCTGCTGGCCCCAGGAAGTCGGTGGATCCTCTTACCATGGCCCTGGGCGCTAGGGGAGCCCCTCTGTCCCCTGGGGGAGGCCTGGGAGGAGGGCCTTAGGCGAAGTTGCCTGTGTGGTCCTCAGAGGCACCCGGAGCAAGACTCTTTGGAGTCCTGAATGGCGGGTCCGTGGCCTTTGCATCTCGGGGATCCTGAGTTCTGTGCCTTGACAGCTCCCGCTGTAAACTACAGCTCCCCCCCTTTCTAGAATTAATTACATTTAAAGGGACTCTGTTAAGTTTGTGAGAAGCTTTGATAATTCAATTCATTGGTCATTCACTGGTCAGACTCTTGACTTTCTAAAAAAGGAAAAAAACGTATGTGTACAAAGATCTGAGACGCAGCCCCCTTTAAACACAGTTATCTTTTGGTTCAGATGAAGCATTCCTCCAAGTGTCACGGAGCTTTTGTTTCTGAGTCATGGGTTCAACTTGAGGCAAAATACAGGACATATTTATTTTTAAAGAAACTACCTGGACAAGACAAACTATACTTGCAGGAGGGAAAGATAAAACAGAAAGCAACCCCTCGCCCTCAAGGAGGAAATGATAGTGCTGATTAAAAGGAAATACAACAGTCCATCATAAGGGTACACCTCTGTTCTCCCAGCTCTTGGGAGGTGGAGGCAAGAGGATCAGTAGTTCAAAGCCATCCTCAACTAAGTAGAGAGTTCAAGGCCAGCCTGGTCAGCCAAGAGCCTGCCTTTAGAGAGAAAGTAACTATACAGTGATGTTGTGTATTGTGAATGCAAAGAGTAATAGTGAATGGGAAAGATACAATACCATTGAGCTAGTAGCTCCTGGAACAGAGAGGAAGATACATGGGAGATTGAGTAGAGCTGTGGGAGTTGGCAGTGCTTCAGGTACATGCAGAGTGTACCTATACAGTGTTGGTTCCCCTGCTTTTCCTCTAGTGACATTGCCTTGGAGTTAGGAAAAGGGAAAATGTGAGAGTTAGAAAAGCAGGAACCTGAGTGAAAAGGTTGTTACTAAGCACTGCTGCTCTCTGAGCAAAGGCAAGGAGGTGTCCTGCAGAACAGCCCGTATTCGTGGTGATGTTAAACTAGCTTCTGTTCTTGTCATTCCTGCTCATTAAAGGACTGTGCATCTGTGAACAAGTATTTTTCCAAGAGTGTTGCTTGGTGCATTAGTTCTACAAATGCTGCTGAAGACATTTCCCTGAGCAATCCAGCATGTTTGGAAACAATACAGTCTAAGACTTCGTCACCTTTGTTATGAGGGAAATTTGCTAAGAACTTTTGAGGTACCAGGCATTATTCTGGGCACAGTGGTTCTCAAGAACTTTGCATGTTGTTTCCATTGTCTTGGGGTGTTTTCCACAAAACAGGGTTCCCAAGAGTTTCTCACCGGAAGTTTTCTCATTAAATGCCAGTGAGAGGTGTAGACGCTCTTCTTAGAGATTCAAGATGTACCTAAAAGGCTCTGAGTAGCTCAGAAGAAAATAAACCTTTATTTTGCCCAGTTTTATTTACCAGTTTAGAAACTTACTTGAGTACTGATTTACTGTTTTGCTCCTAGGACAAATGTATTTCTTGTTATCTGGAGGAGACACTGCTAGCAAAAGTGTTCTTTTTAATTTGTAAGACCCCGTGATCTTGAGCCATAGTGACATTTAGTACTACACCTGTGAGTTGAAATTTTATTTGTACTAGATTTTGTGATCAGGACTCTTTGTGTTCATTTCAGTGACCTTTTACACACCAAGCTTAAGTTCTATAAAGTAAATATTTTTATAATGCTTAAAATAACTGTATAAATTAGGTAACAAAAATAACAGATAAAATTCTGAGAATTTTATCATGTTATCTCATTTAACCCTCAACCACTTTAAGGCTTGGTATTATTTCCCCATCTCACAGATCCAGGACACGGAAGTGTGTCCAGAAGTTGCAAAGCTAGCAAGACTGCCACCAAAATTATCAAAACTACTTCTAAACTTTTCCCAGTATATTTTTCTCATGTGCCTTCTCTCCACTTCCAAGATTTTAGTTGGTGTAGGATTTTGACACATCTATGTGGTTGGATTGAAAGCTCTGATTTGTCCTGGTGGGAAAGTTCTAATTTTGATTTAGCCAAATAATGAAACTTATTTGACCTGGAGAGGAAACAGGAGGACAAATTTCCTTTATTATTTGTTTTGGAAAACTAAAAGGCACAAAAGCAGTGCTTTTATTATGGCTAAGAAGGGGTTGTAGATTTTTTCTCCCAGGAAAAAACGAGAAAACAAATTAAGGGCTTTGTTTATAGTTTCATATTTTCAGCTAAAGAAGATGAATGGGTCTTAGTGTGGTCTCTTGTATTCATCTCATTATGTCTTACCTCTAGTCCTCTTGGAAGATTTAAAGACTTATTTCTGAGATTGCTTCGGGAATGTGTGGTTTTGATGGTGATGGTAAAGAAAACAGACACAGGATTCCATTGGGGAATACTGCTGTTGGTACTGCTGAGTGATTAGCATGGTTAAGACCATCATGGACAGAGATCTTACTAGGTTTTGACTTCTTTCATCATTCTACTTCCTGTGGATTTGTGACAAGACTTCATAATATGATGCATAATTCTTTATACTGTGAAAGAGTTGTTCTTATTTATTGATACGAGCAAGGGTTTTATTCGGTTTGGGTAAATATGCCTTAGTTAAGATTTCTACTGCTGTGATAAAGCATTGTGACCCAAAGCAAACTGGAGAGGGAAGGGTTTATTTGGCTCACATTTGTAGTCCATCATGAAAGGACGCCAGGGCAGGAACTCAAGGCAGGAACATGGAGGCAGGAATTGAAGCAGAGAACATGGAGATTGCTGTTTACTGGCTTGCTCCTCCTCATGGCCTTTTCAGCCTGCTTTCTTAGATGCCCTAGAACCACCTGCCCAGAGCTGGCAATGCTCACAGTGATCTGGATCTTTTCACAGCAATCATTAATCCCCCCCCAAAAGAAAATAATGAGCCTTTTCTTAAATGACTCTAGCTTATGTCAAGCTGACAAAACGCTAACTAACCTTTCTTGAACTTCCTCATATCAGAGTTCTTTCAATTTATTTGAATTGCCATTCCTGGGCTACCAAACTGATTTTAGTGTGAGTAAGTTTCTTTGGAGCAGTGCCCGGATGCATGGTGGGACAAAGAAATACAGATGCTCTTTCTGTATGCCACATGGGTTCATTTTGATTCCTGCCTTTCTCTCTCCCCAAACACAGTCAAGGACTTTTGTTTTCAAAAATATTATTTTTGAAATATTGGTTGTCTTTATTATTAAAGACAAATAAAGGTTGTCTTTCTTTTTCTTCCAGATAAATAAGGGAATTTTGGTTAAATTCTTTGATATTTGCTACTCTTGTAAGTTGGGGCAGAGAGCTTCAAAAATAACATTTTGGTCTTCATATTGGATGAAGCCTGTCTCTAAGACTGTTTCGTCTGCCTCCTTTCTTTCCCTGGCATAGTATTGGGGATTGAGCCTAGAACCTTGTGCATGTCAGGCAAATGCTCTACCACTGAGCTACATCCTTTCATCTGCTCTTATGTCCCCTTTAATGGAATAGTACCATCAAGAATCCTTAGTGCCTTGCATTTTTAGTAGGGCATTAGATTTTATTTGTTTTTAATTCTAGCCAAAGTCAGGGTAAGTCAGGGTAGTCAGGCTGCCCACAGAAGCGTCCAGACCGAGGAAAAGCATGCTTCTAGTTTTATTTGGCTACAGAGGGCCTAGAGTGGGGTGAATGTGAGATAGGTGGTGTTTAATAATGGGGAAGCATTCCTGAAGAGTGTGGCTTGGGAATTCTTTTTCCAGACACAGTATGGTTAACAGTGAGAGACAGAAGACAGGGTCCCTACGCTTGGAGGATATTAAAGTTGAGTCTATTGAAGAATAAAGACAGAGATACTGGGCTCATTTATCCTAGTTTCCTCCCATTAGAAACAGGGATGACCAATTACAGAGAAAAGAAATGTCTTTTTTTGCGACTAAAAAATGTGCTAAGAAGTTATTAGATGTGAAAGGAGGAAATATAAAGCCAGCCTTCATGGAGCAGTGTGACCTAGAGGGCGGACTGGCTTCCCAGGCTCACACTGATCACCCTGATTAGTGGCCTAATCGGGTTACTATTCTTTGTGTTCCATATGTCAGGTTAATGGTTTTCAAAACAGTGCTGAATGTGTAGCTCCTCTGGAAGGGCACGGCTCATACAGCATGGAGCTTTTATAGGCAGTGGGTTTTTAAAGAAGACACTGTGTGTTCATGAACAGGGTAGGTAGGTCTCTGAAGGCAGGAATATTTGGTGTGTATCAGAAGGAGAGAAAAGGGTTTTCTACTTCACCTTCTCCTCTCCTGCCCCAAGTCTCCACTTAACCATGATACATGTTACAGAGAGAAAGGCGAATGATTTGAAGATGAAAGGTAGCAAACAAACTGTCTTCAACGAGTGTGAGTAGTGTAATGATGTGATGATACACCCCCCCCACCGCATTGTCTTTCTGTCCAGTTACCTAATTTGTTTCTTCTTTGGGGCCATGGAGACGTCATCCTTCGGCTCTGTTGGTACTTGTCAGTCACTCTGTTGCCTGGATTTCTGTCCTCCCAGATTATACAGATTGTATTGCTGCATGGGTGCATGGTCACTTGACCTCCTAACCTTTTGAAACCTACCATCGTCATTTCCTTCCAGGCTTCTCCTTCCTGCGATCACTAAGTTCTGAATAACAGCGCTGCAGTTTTAGATCTGGGTAGGCTCATTAGTAAGTGTTGGTGATAATTAGGAAGTTGTGTTCAGAAATATCTGGAGATTCAGTTCCCTGAAGTAATAACCACAGCTTAAGGGAAACATTCCCCAGGGAGGAAGGAAAGAGCCTGTGTTAGGTACTTTCCTAGTTACTGTAACCAATGTACCTGACAAGAGGCAATTTAAAGGAGGAAGTGTTTATCTTGACTTACAGTTTAAGGAGATGCAGTCCACTGCAGTGGGGGAGAGCATGGTGGCCAGAGCAGGAGGCTAACCCATCTTCTTAAGTGAGAAAACTGAAAGTAGTAAATGCTTCTTGTCAACCAGTGTTCTTTGTATACAGCTTGGGACCCCAGCCCATGGAGCAGTGCTAACCTTATTTAGGGTGGGTCTTGGTACCTCAATTTATCTTAA